GCAAGGCCCGTCCTTTATCACTGTGGTATTTATTCGTGAGGGGTCGTCATAACGCTCTTGATGAATGTCCTGCCCTCATTCTTTTTTTTATTTGTTTGATAATGTTTCCCAAAGCTGTAAGCAATTAAAACCAGTTTTCGTTGCCTGACAATTGGCTGAGTAATGTACTAGAGTGGGTGGTTCAGTGGTCATAGTGAGGGAGGAGACGTGGTGACGAGGTGCTGTGTCATGTTCTTCTGAAGGCAAAACGTAGAGGCAAAACTGGGATTCATACCATGCTTGCGTATTATTGAGAAGGGAATGGACTGGGAATTACATTGTTGATTACGTCACCGACTAATGGGCCTTTGAAGAGCCTATTCGCGGTTGCCTTCTGTCCTTTGTTGTGAAAGTTGAGTGGACTTACTTCAATATTTAATAATTGCCGCGGTATTAGTGATCAGTTGTAGAATGGCAGTGGCGTAAATGATGGTGCCTAATAAACCTATCCGATTGATTTAATGAGGTAACTTCTTAACTGTGAAACGGCAAAAGTCAGTAAGCAACTGCTTTTTCCTAGCTAAAAGACGATTGACCATCGACTTCAGAATAATAAGCGCCTTGAATTTCTGTCCCCACTTTTGTGACACTCATCTGAGGATGCTTAAGCACCAGCTCAATCAAGACTGGATATATGGAAGCTGCCCAGGAGTTAAGCTTGTCTACAATTGCCAGATGTCATTACCAATTCTATTAAGCCGTTTGAACATTAGGTAGTAAAATGCGTTGTCATTAAGTTTTAGCCAAGAAATTACCCCATTCCCCCAAAGTTAGGTGGGATATTTTGACCGATAACGGATGATTTTCTTCATTGTACGCGTTAGCGATCATTGTTAGGAAGACAAAAACTCTGAATTCAGCGATGGTTGTAGGGATGAAGTGTAGTTAGTTGAAGGCCATCTTGCTTTGCAGAAGTGCTCATTGGGCACATCTTTGTTAACAAATTTTTATGGTTGCTTAAATGCACACTCCCTCTTCACTTCCTCAAGGTGATAGCCGAGGTGGGTGTTCCCTAGGACTAATTGAGTCCTAAATCCGACCTTCTCTCCAGTTCTGTTGCATCGCTACTATGTCATTTTGTATGGTTTAACGCTGAAATAGGAACGTCATGTGATCGCACTGTAGATGTAGGTGGATTTAGTTCTAGTGCGGCCGCTTTTGAAGTAGACCGAAACTTTTGCCCCTGGAATGGATCTTCTGGAATGCACTTTTGATGTTAAGGCCCGTCTGTCCTGTTGTTTCCTTAAAACCCTTTTTGGAAATAACCATATTGCAGAATATGCCATGATAGATATGCCATTAATTCATCTTCCCAATCCGAATGTATTTTTTGCCGCCTAACCGGGGTTTGAAACAGTCAGTTTTATTTAGTGGGGAAGACATGTCTGGGATTGGCTCCATTTGCATAAAATATGATGTGACAGAAACGATCCTTCCATTAACTACAAAATTTAGAACCAAATCCCTTAGTCTGATTAGTCATCCGTCCATTAATCCGTCTTCCTATCCATCCCGTTTTCATCCATCCACCAATTCATCCGTCTTTTTGTTGGCCAATTCACTTATGTTAGACCTCTTAATTCGTGGAGATTTTTGAAGGCAAATAAATGTGGATGTAGAACCAAAACATACGTAGAGTTGCTGGAAGACTAGATGCATGAGATTTGCAGGTGTCTTTCGTACCCTACAGCATTCAACATCAACAACAGCTGCAGCGGAGATGTAGACGTCTTTACCGACACTGAGCGTGTCGCCATAGGCTCACGAAATGGCAGTGGCGGACTGCGT